TCTTTTGATTTCCCAAAATATTTGTTTGGGGCAATGAAAAAATGATTAAACTCAGTTGCCAGACGGTAATTGCCTACTCCAATAAGCGCACGCTCCACATCTTTATATTGGGCTTTTGTGTGAGCAATCAGCCGCTCTATGAGAATATCTATGTTTGTAGATTTCCAATCAATCATGTGCTTGAGTACGTGGTTCATACTTTCCGTGTTGTTGTTAGTCCAGTGTGCGCTAAGCTGTTTGTTCTTTGTTACGCAAAAAATACCCTTCTTTATCAGCGGTAAAACCCGTCTTACCAAATAATTCCTCAATGACGGGTTTTCTGTATTGTGTAGTAGATCCGAAGTCTTTTTTGCAAATGATTCTTCATTTTCAGTTGTTATTATCCCTGTACGTCCAAAGATGGTCTCATTAATGCGTCTTCTTTCGCTCACATTCAGCCCCACTTTATTTTTCATAAATTCCTCGACATTACTCTTCAAATGACGAGAGCATATTATATTAGTTGAATCAGGAAAGTTTTCAGAGATTGATTTACGCATAGCTTTTTCATCATCAGTTCCTATTGTCAGTAATTTTGTATCAACGTCGTTTAAAGCACCGGAAAGTAATGAGAAAAATTGATTATAGCATTTTGCAGAAGATGACGAGTGAATGTATAAAGGTCCGAGCATAATTGGTGGTTCCCCAGTTGTTTTAGTTGTTACAGATAAATTCTTAAATGTGGTCACTGTCACATGAATCTCGCACAGATTGAAAGTTTTGTCCACAGTTAGTGGTGTTCGGCCTGTACAACAAAATCGTTTAATGTCGCTGATTTGATCGTCGCTGAATATTGTCACACCGATACTATTACTGGTAAAAGTGACGGAGCGGACCATTGGTTCCTGCTGACATAGGGAAACAACACGCAGCATTCTGTCAGCTAGATTTCCGACGGGACCATTATGGTTGTTTTTTGTTTTTTTGTCGTTGTGCTTTTTAGAGTACAGTTGACAGAGATTCCTCGGTGTTTGTACTAATTCTTTGTCTTGTAGGAGAAAGTCATTGTAAACCTCTCTCGGCTTCTTTTGTTGCAATTCTTGTGAAATTTTCTCGAGGGTGGCCGGTCTGGTACGAAAATACTGTTCATCACATTTTGCATTGCCATGGATGGTTTTCACTTGATTACTGCCGACAAACTCAACCAGAGCAATTTCATCTTTGACCTTTATTAAATATGTCGGCGCTGACAGTATACACGTAACACGTTTTTTAAACATTATAGTCCCTTTCAGACACGCGTAGTAACGCTGTATTCCGAGCAATTGTTCAGAACTCGGTTGTGGGATTAATGGAATGTAGGTTCTTCTTCCTTTGATTTCTTTTTCGTTGCAAAATTGTCCCGCTTTTTTAAAAACTTTTTTGGGCCTACAACCTTCTTCCACAAAATAAAACGTTTTAGGAGATGTGCCTTTCTTAGAATTCCAGACGCCACAATCGTCCGAAAATTCGCTTCGGTATCCATTCCTACGATTCTCTGCATTTTTGGTGTTTGTGATGAGAAAATATACATTTTCTTTGCTACCAGTTGGAATTTCAGGTAACACCGTGCCTGGTTCACAACGGCCAAAAATTTGAATAATATGTTCCAAGCTTAGGAATTTACCGTTTGGCAGAGGAACGCCTCGATTATTGGATACTCTGCATGTATCGGATATAGAATGAGGCATGTCAGGAGTTACAACATCTACAGTTGCAGAGTCCTTTGCTGCATCAACATGTTCGTCTTTGCTGGTCGACTCGTCTGATATTAATTTGTCATCATTACAAAATGTTTCCGAGTCCGATAGTATACTAGGGGAATCCGGAATTAAAATCGTATCGTATTTTTGAACTGGTTCTTCGAGGAGAGGTACAAAATGATTTGTTCTAAAATCTTTGGCTGTTGGAGGAATCGTCATTTGGGTCCACATTATTGTCGTTTTCGATTGTTGCGTGGCTCTGACGTCACGGCCACAAATTTTCCTTGTGAAAGGCTGGCTTAGGAAAACGTTGGCGCTGGTTTGAGGGTAATAAGATTGAATCGGAGCTTTGATAACTGAACTCAAGCCATACATGTGCATCATTTCTGAAAAACATCCATCCGTTCGAGCTGAATGTATCAAATCCGAGTATTTTGATGTCACAACCCGATCATCATCAATCGGGTTTTTGAAAGCAGGAAATTCTATGTCGTAAAATTCTTGATGTTCCATAATTTCAATTGCTGTCAAGAGGCGTAAATGTTTGTGATAGTCTTGTGTTCCATATAACGAGACGGATACTGCCCTGTATAAGCAGTTTCCATCGCCTTCCACGTACATTGGAGTAAAACAGTCCAGCATGATTGGATGAAACTTTTGCAAAATATTCTTAGACACTGAACATTCTCTTATATGATTCTCAGATTGTGGTGCTTCTAAAGGTATAACTTGATGATTGTCTAACAAACATTGCAACGATTTGATCAAGTAAGGGCGACCTGCTAACATCCGTAACGCCATGTCGTAATCGAACTTTTGATTCGGGCACAAGCACCTTGCACATAAAAAGTGCATGTCTTTCTTGCTCCATACTTCCATGACTTTTGGTTGTTCTCCAAGACAGGAAGCATGTGTCCAGGTCTCACACATTTCACATTCAATGCACTCGTCAATGCATTCAATGGAACAGGTGGCACATGGGTATCTCAATGCACTAGACATAGCGTAGTAGGATGTCTTTTGACGTTTGCGTTGAATATCTGAACCAGAAAATGGAACTCTTAGTTAAAAGTAATAAAGGTATATTTGATATCGACTAGTACAATTAAAAATTATCATTCTGACTCATTCATATATTATATACATTCAAGATCTTAGCGTTTTGCAACAAAGACACTTTTAAAATATGGACACCATTTCCTCATTCGAAGTAAACTTCAATAAATATATTAATCCTTATATAAAATACAAGTTATCTGAGCTAGCAAAAGTTGTACATACCGATAAAATCGTCGAACTGGCTTGGTATTCTATCCTTGGCACGTTGATGGAGAAGATATAAAAACTAGGAGTACAATTACAAGAATCGTAAATAATCTGCTTTAAATTCCTGATGCTAATAGTTCGAATATTAATTCGAAATGGCACATAGGTCGCTTTTCTGTCGCAAAGAAATCTCCGGCCATGACGAACAGCCCAGCGCCAGTCCTGCTGCATTTCAACTTTGGAGGCTCGAAGCTGTGTTATCAGTAGATAAATCAGTAGGAGCACTTTGAACCGTCCTCGCTATAAAGGCTATAGCGACAATCGTTTTCAACTCGTGGTCAACTCTCGCATTTTCCTATGCTGAAATTTTAAATTCAAGTATTTTGTCAAATATGTTAACGTTATTGATATATTAAAACATTTATGTATGGTTTTATATATTTACCGATATATATATATATATATATATATCACATATATATCATATTTAAATATATATCACAAATATTTCATATTTGATGAAATACAACGACATCCCCACTTTCATCATAACTTAAGGTCACGTACTTCAACCAGTTCCAATATAAAATGTTTAGCTACAAAGTTACAATGCCTGCACAAGAATTTTGTTGAAACAATTTTCAGCATATTAGTAAATTTTGAGAAGTCATTTTAGAGGATCAGATTTGTATGTATGTAGGTAAACAAGAGGACGATGCTCAAATATATGAACACGAAGCAATATGCAATCTATCACGGTAGATTACAGTGCCAGAACGGCAGTCTTTACGGCTGACAGGAACACGAACCAAAATAACAACATTATTTTTAATAATGACAGGTTTAGGTGGATATTCATGTTGTGCTACATAGTTGCAACACCTGCTCAAGAATGTGGAAACAATTGGAAACAATTTTTATTTGTTCCAATCTGAATCTATGACTACGTTATCTTATCGACAAGGAAAATTAAAGGCTAATAACATGTAAGAAAGTTTTGATTATCGATTTTTGTCATCAATTCATATTGATAAGAGATGATTCAGGAATTCATTGCTCAATTTACATCCGCTAGGTGGCGTAAAATGAAATTGTTATTTTCTATCATTCTATCCCCCTCAATTTTTCCATTTTACTTGGGAAATCGCTTGGAGGGACATAAAATGTCCTTCGCAAGATATCTACAAGTCCGTTCCGGTAGGTTTATGTAGGTTTCCCACTCCGTTCCGGCAATTTAGGGTCCGTTCCGGTAATTAAAGAAAATTAATTTTACCACTGTCCCCCCCAAGTTCGCCGATTTATTATAAAAATTGCAAGGAAGTATATGTAATGACATTTGCAAGACATCTAAAGGTCCGTTCCGGTAGGTTTATGTTGGTTTTCCACTCCGTTCCGGCAAATTAGGGTCCGTTCCGGTAATTAAAGAAAATTAAATTTACCACTGTACCCCCCCAAGTTTGCCGATTTAATATAAAAATTGCATGGAAGTATATGAAATGACATTTGCAAGACATCTAAAGGTCCGTTCCGGTAGGTTTATGTATGTTTTCCACCCCGTTCCGGTCCGTTCCGGTAATTTAGGGTCCGTTCCGGTAATTAAAGGAACCGCCACCGTACATGTATAACGCACATACACACCCGGGCGTTTCGTCGACATCCGGGAGTTTTGACACGCTGTGTATGATTGAACCTGATGGGACTTCCTTGTTTACTTCCGAGAATTTGACTAATCAGTGGATAAGATTTACATAGAGTTTATTTGAGAGAGAGAGATTTTATTATTTCGTCAAACAAAAAACGTAAAAAATAGTCATCAGTAGAATAGCACTAGCAAAAAATTTTTTTTTTCTGGTATGGACAGGAGGAAGCGATACGACCATACGGTCATCGAAGTCAGCTACCACCAACGACTAACATACCATGATGCGCAACTAAGGCCTTGACCAATGAGGAGTGTCTGACGCGATACGCTCCATTGCGGCAACTTGATTCGTTACCGCCCACTCGAGTTCCCAGCGTTTTGCTGCAGTTTCACCATATCTGTTGGTCGCGTCGGACTCAAGGGCTGTAGTTATTGTATAATCAGTGGCTATTATAGCTAATAAAGGTAAGTCTACCATTTCTATACGTTAGATATATACTATCAGTATGTTTCCATTAGCGGGTGACTATTCAGGGAGCTACCATGTGCTGATATATGACAGACAGAGATGCCGAGTTTAAATCCCTGAATCAGATCCTGAACTTGATGATGATACATGCATACATTACCTGTCTGCCTGTACCGTACTAGACTCATTCATGTTTACTCATTCATGAGGATCATAAACTGACAGTATTCATAGATCTCAACGAGGAAATGGAAGAAAAGTTTACCTTGAGCTATTAACTCGGTCCATAATATTAGTATGTACCGAGTACCGGTACTTCTGATGGTTCATTGTCTAACAAATTTTTAACACTATTTGTGTTTATTTATTTATTTTTTACAACATGCCAATCTCATGCCAGATTTACCGAAATATACTCGTTTCATTTGATTCCCACTCCCCTTAACTTGAACTAGATATGGGTTCTCAAGTCATTGTTGTAGTTCAGTAGCTATGAACTTTGTATTATATATATACAGATATATTGCAAATCTCAGCATCTGTCATGTTGAAAGTAACTTTTTTTATTACACACGTGAAATGCCACTTCAACACCTAGTCACATTGTTTCTTTTTTGTTATATTGTGCGGTCCAGTGCGTCTGTACAGACGATAGAATATTATTCATCACGTTACCGGTAAAAACCGGCTAACTTCGGATGATTTCACTATATTTTGAACAATATCTCCGCCGCATGTTGTTCAACTGAAGCCAAATTTGAAATATAATACATTGTGGCTATTCTCGTCTTGATAAAGTTGGTTCCATATCCATCAAAGCCTTTTTTCATTGAAATTATTGTCTTTATTCGTCTATTCTAAAATTATCTAACTTCGGATGGCCACTTTTCTCTTTGCGTCAACTCGTCGTGAAAGAGAAATGTCTGCGTAAGCAATGACGCGTGACAACGTCGCTGAATAGACCTTACGCCGCCACGACCCGTCTTGCGTGTTGCATACTGACGTTTGTACGTGACGTTACTCTTGCCGCTTCGCGAAGCTTAACTATTTATTCTTGTGTCCTTTATTATAACTCGTATATATTTCACTAACCACTCCTAATTTATTGCAAAATGCTAGTTCGTTCTTTTATGATCGTTTATTTTCAATGCAAGAAAAGGATTAACAAAAAAAAAAAACGGAAGAATTGAAAGTACCTAACACTGGTGTAGGTTGAAATTGAAATGCAATATGGAACAAGTAAAGAATGAACAGACATATCTAATCATTATGATCGTATAGATACATGTTTCAGGCCTAACGTATTACCAATTGCTACGGTATCTATCGGTGTCGGAGGAAGTATGCAAAAACAAAAATCGACAAATTTCATATGCATTAAGCGTATGCATACCCATATTTTTAAATAAACAACATATGACTGAGACGATAGTGATGTTTTTGTAGGATTTAGTGACTAGGATCATGGATAAGCTTAATTTTTAAATTTCACGAAACTGGGCGCCGCGATGTCTGGCGTTCAAATGTCGCAGCGAGTAACGCACGAGCTACGCAAAGTGACGTCGGCTACGAAGAGAGAGAAAGGGATTTGCGTCGTTGACGTCACGCTGTACGTAATCATCAAAACGTCGATATTTTGATGTAATTTTTAAATCAAAATAATCGATTTCACTCGAATCTCGTACGACACCTTGTGATCACTGTATTTTTTTGTATACATTGTGTACGCTCTCTAGCGCTTGGCGGTGATTTGATGAAGGTAGCATCTGTAGAAGTCACGATTTGAGCCGCTCGAAAAAACGGTGTCATTTTTTTGGTAAAATATGATTTTTTGAATGATAAAAAATCAAATCGAGCGATTGGAGGCTACGGCAGATTCAGATATGTAAGGCCTTACTATAGAAACCGACAGAAGCGCAATACGACGAAATTTAGTTGAGATATGAATGATTGAAAATTTCATCCGAAGTTACAAGGCATCCGAAGTTAGCCGGTTTTACGGTATCGTACGGTATTTCATATTCGAGTACCGGTACGGTACTGTGCGGCAGGTTAAACATCTGCTTCAATAGATTTATGTCATTTATACCTGTTCTTTCTTCATCGTCTCCCGTTGTCCGTCCACTACAACTGATGATTATCATAATTTGGTTGTGATAACTGAGCCACTACAAATTCCCGAATATTTCCCCATAACACGCTTTTATTCACTGCCTGTAAGCTACGAAACGGGGAAGACCCCAAATTACTATCTGATGTATTGCGTGGCTCTCAGATACACCCTAGTGTCATGACGATTTCTCGTTAAAACCGTATTAGTATATATTTACGGCTAAACTATACTATGCTATATTGATCTACTAAAATTATATGTTAATTAAATAGTTGAATCTTGGGTGCCGCTGCTAGATAACCAACTTTGGTTCCCCACGGCTTCCCTTCCCCAGTAAAATTATGTTCTTGAATTTTTGCTTATTTTTTGCATCATTTATTATTTTACTGGTTGGAAAAAATAAACTTGACTATTGACTATTGAATGAGGAAAAGTAAGACAGCTATTGAAAAGAGAGCTACAGACAGACAGAGGACAAAATGTGTTAGGAGAGATTTAATGCAGGACCCCCAACAGAACATGCATTCAATTATCTTACCATCAATATATTTTCTGGATTTCATTCTATAGATGGAGACATACTTAAATGTGATATTTTCATGACAATATTTTTGCTATTAAACAAGTTATTCTGAGATTTATAAAAAATAACTTATGTTTTATTTCAAGGTGCTCGACGTGTCAAAAGTTATTTTCCAGCATGGCATCTTTGGCTCGACATATTCACAAACAAGGTAAGATTCACATAATTATAGACTCCTATATAAATTCCATAATTACTAATACAACTTCCACAACTCAAGATAAACATGAAAAGCAAATTTTTTTTAACCACCATGGGATAAATCTGTCAAAATAATTGAATTTTTTTTATTTTTAGGCAGAGATATTAACGTGGGGAGAATTGTAGTGGAAGATCATTGCAGCCACTGTCCCTATTTTACCAAATGTGGTCAAATACTTCAATTGTTGCTGAAGAAAAGTCCTGAGTGATCAAATGTTATCCTTCAGCTGTGATGCAGTTAACGTTATTCCTCACACTCGAACAGAGTATTCCAGGTTTACTATACCCTCCAGTCTTGTCGGGATATTATTTGATAGATTCACAGCCAAAGAAATGGATAAAACGAAAGGTGTGGTGCTTAATATTTGTCTGGATTTGAGTATGTTTAGATACCATAATTTTACGGAACATATGACTAACTGGCAAAAATTGCTTAATTGGGTTTTTATTCATACATAAGGCAATAAAACGCAACTGTTTTCTAAGCAATATTGATTTGGGATGTAGGCAATAAAGCACTACCTGATTCATACATTGTGCGCACCAGCTTAACTGGCGCTTGATCGATTTTAATTTCAAGTATTGACCCTGTTTGATTGACATTCATGGTAATCAATAATGCGATATCCTAATATTACACACCTGTTCCCTATGTTTTCCAGATTTACTGGATTCAAGTTCTATATCAAGTCCATATATTCCAATACATTGCTGGGTTTATTTTACAAAAAATGCAAAAACGATGCTAAGACCCGGAAGACTGCAGAAGAATTCAGTCATTATTTAATCCCGAACCGGACTGTTTGATAACTGACTCTATGATTGCAGTAATGCAGGAAACAGAATACGGACGCCTAACCGTACCATTGGCCAGTGTCCTAGCTGCTCGAAATTGAATTTAGATTAAACTATGCTCATGAAGGTGTTACAGCCACAGTTTTTGAAAATTTTAATATGGAATCATTTGGTATCGCCCAAAACGATACTAGCATGCTGGACATCTTGGAAAAATAAGGTGCCATCAAACAGAATTTATCCCTACGAAAACTGCTTAAAAATAAATGTAGATGAAGAGCATGATCTCTTTTCACTTTATTTTGCAAGGTAGTGCGTTTAGATGTGATTCCAGTTTTATTTTTTAGCAGTAATTAAACAAAGCAATCTATTTTCCATAACAAAGTTTTCATTGCAATATAGTATATTTTCATGACAATAGGCAATGTAAGTTGCATAATAAAAATATAGCATATATAGAACTGTTTGAGTTGTCCCAGCTGTTAGCTGTATTTCTGGCAACTAGCATTTTCCCAGATGGTTGAGCATGACCTTTGATGTCATCAGTTTCAGGTGACTGATCATGACCAACCACCTGTGAAGGTGATTTGGCCATGTGCACTGAGTAGTCTGGAAGACAGCTCAGTTGGTGGTGTTTATGTCTGTATGTGTTACTTTGGTTATTGCTTTGGACATTTATTCGCTATATAATTAAGACATTTATTAAATATACTTTGGAGTCGCTTTAACACCAGCGACAGATGATTTCCAGTTGCGTATTTCAGAAATGAAAATTATTTTCAAGCCAAATCAGACGATCATCAATGCTATGGAATGGTCTGAGCATTTTTAGGCGCTCCCGTAGTTTGTGTACCAAGACAGCGCACAACCTGATTAACCCCAACCTGGTACACATATTACGGGAGCACTCTTTTTTATATCCAAAATTTGGCCAAGTATTCATAATATCAAACCATTTATCCATAGACCATGCTGATCAAGAGCTCTGGCCCACCTCTCTGCTGCATCAATCTTGCAGTAGTCTTAGATAGATAGCACCTGGGCTGCATATTTGACACACACTTTTGGGTAGCTACGTAAGCACAAGTGGGATTCTGTCAATTTGCAGGAGCGGAACTGTTCGGATGAAAAAGGAGGGTACTGCACGAAAATGGTCATCATTCCACCAGCGTGACTCGCAAACACATTATTGCGTACTGTTTTGAGTAAATGAAATGATCAGAACCATTGAAACATGTATATGGGAAAGTTAACCTCAAATTGTTTAACTCATGGAACATTTTACGGTTTGCGCTAAGTCCATCCATCTGTAATGAGCCCCAAACCCACTTCAACACTTTCCGAAAAAATGCTAGCGAGATTGTCTGAGGGCTTTGAAAACTTCCCAATCAAACCATGTGCATAAACTTGCAGTGCATTGTGTGCAGGAACTTTTTCTCTGCTTTTCTCGACTCTCCCAAGTCAACAAAGCCATCATATCTTCTTTTGAATTGTAGACAATATTTTCTTTGACTAAAAAGATAGGTTTATCTTCAAATATTTTGAATCGACCAAGTTATGTCGGGTTTTGAACCAAATTTTGCACATTAAAGTTTGTTTAGTAATAATAATTGTACAATTATAAATTTGGGCACTCCTCAACTAATTTTGTTCGCCTACTTTACATCAATTTGTGTAAAGGAACTGAAACTTATGGACAGGTGTATGTGTATTCAATTGGCTATGAGTCCCTGAGCTCGTAATAGAAGTGAAACAAGGGAAATCTTCAAAACACTTTTCCCAGATGAAATAAATATTTCACAATTTAGTGATCTAAAATAATGATAGAAGAAATTACTTATTATTGCTCAAAGGAAGTGCCCACATAGCAGTGTTATGTCATTCGCAAGATGATACTGTTAATGGAAGTAAAAATAGAAGGTACTACGCTCAGACAAACAATGTAGAATTTTCAAGGTATTAACATGATGATATCAACACCAGCCGAACATTGTGAATTCTTGAAACAGATGATTAGAAAAATATGTAATACCTTAAAGCAAGCAATCTAAGCTGTGGAGGCCCTTGTTCCAATTAGATCTCGAAAAGGACACTTCAAAATGTTGACTTGTTGTAGAACTGGAATTACTGCTGCCAGTTATCCCCTCACAAATGATCGATGTTCATTACCGTAGATAAAGTTGTTTCTTTACATCAATATTATTTAGGACTTCCGATGCTACACTAGTCCAGCCATGATAAATTGCACCGATCTCTAACTCTGAATCAATGTTTATAGCTAAACTTGATTGCTCTGCAGCTGATTAGGGCTTGAGAAAAAATTGAATATTGTCTTCTAAATCTTGGTATTGCCAGTTGGAAGGCGAATAAGTTGATGCACTTTTTTTCAAGTCTTGCAAATTTTATTGACATATTTTTCAGCTACTTTCCTCTTTTTTGGAGAAGATCTATTCAAAGTTGGCGTTCATCTTGAGTATTGCACCAATTCAAAGACGCGACTGTGAGGCTTTGTTGAATATTTCTCTCATTTTATATAAAATTACAATCTTGAATATACTCGAATGCAACATCGATTACTCATGTTGATGAGGGAGTGTAACTAAAAAGATCGTAATTCGTAACCCAGTACCGGACTCGCAGAACATAAGAAGATAAAGTAGCCTAGGCCCTAGGTTACGATAATCGGGTAGAATATTGCAGTATTGAGGTGTTTCATAGAACGCCAAGTTACCGTACCTGCGTTGTCTTGAGAGGGAAATACTAGTTGAAGCCGAAAAGTAAATCTAATCTATCTTGAAATAAACTAAAGAGACCGAGCTGAAGATGGACAACCGACATTTGATTAAAGTATTGAACCAACTTAATGAAATACTAGGCCTATAGGCTGCTGAGCTAGAAATATACAGCGAGACATTTTGTGCACATACCACCGTCTTCACCAAGCTCCGCGCAAATCAAGTGATCGCAATGGAGCGTGAAGCTGCAGAAACTCGCAACGCGAATAACTTTGTTTGTTTTATTAATGTGGGCATGGCTTTCTAGACTAGTTTCATCCCCCTGACTCCCACCATATATGCTGATTTTTTTAAGATAACACTGAAAGATGACCAGTGACAAAACTTAAACTATTACATTAATATTTTTACAATAAAATTCTGAATAAAATTAGGAGACTCTTGGGTAAATGCATTGTTATGAGTATTTTTAAAAGAAAGAAAATAGAAGAAAACAAAAAAGGAAGGGGGTGTCCTATGTTAAGTGGCGCGGCGGTGTGGCTCAACGGGCTAAGCGTTAGGAATACGCTCGCCACCGCACCTCTAATTACTCTGCGTGGGTTCGCAGGTTCGAATACCATGCAGGGATGGTTATGTGCGAGAGGATTGCTGGACTCCGCGCCGTCGTTGGGTGGTTCACGTAACCGCTGGTCGGTTACGGCTTCCTCCACCACCAAGTCCATGCTTCCGAAAACAAACAATATAACTAATCCCATACCCGACTTGGAATGGTAACCGGACGAGAGGCCGTGGTTCGCCATATGGATAAGCCGTCTTATCGGCTTTCCTCTCCCCCGGGATAAATATGTAAATCCTATCCTAATCTAAAGCGACCAGAATAATGCTATGAAAATTTAATATTTAGCTGAAAAATAAATTACTGAATTCATAAATTCAATTGGGCTTGAAACGATAATAAATAGAAATAATAAATTATTGGATATATATAAACAGTGGATCAGGGACAAAATTTTAATGTGACGAGAATGTGGAAAATATTTTAGTGCAACTTAGTGATACATACACAGTATTAGGAAAGTAAATAACAAAAACATGAAAATATTAATTGAACTCCCGCAATATGTGTGCCATGTTTGGGCCAGACCCAAATCCTATCCAGACCTTCTATCTTAGTTCCATCAAGGGAGCAAATGAGTCTCTTGCCAAACAGGACTCAGTCACCTCATATAACCCGATGTAAAGCAGGCGAACAAAACCAGTTACCCGCCCACTGATACACATACTACTAATACATTAATTAATCAACAACACGTAGCAATATCATATACACCAAAATATATGAAAGAAGCACCATTCCATTGATCAGCAATAGCAATGATATTAAATTAATAAACACTGGTATGGTGAAAGGACCTTGACACAAACCTGCAACAATGTAGAGCAGTAAGTAGTGTGTATTGAAAAGAAATATTACAAGTGATTTGAGCTATGGGAGTGGAACTTATCCATTACACAACACAACTACGAGTATAGTCAGGAATGACTGAAATGCAGGGTAAAAGTAATGGGAATTAAGGGTTTACGGTAACTACTATAACTTCATATTATGTCAAAAAGTACATATGCTGAATAGTTTATAGTTTGGCCTATGATGAAAACTGTTGGTGTTACATACAAGCCCCTGTGCTAAATTTCTATATAGAAAAGAGCTGACTTAATAGATTATATTTGCTAAGATAAAGATGCAAATCGTGAGTGAAATAGTTATTAAGATGCAAAAAAAAAAAAAAGAGAATACAGAAAATATATCCCTACACATATTAATATTTATTTATGAGATACCTCATATACTTATATTTGAAACAGCTATAAGACGATTCTACGATTTCATTGGGACTAGAGTTCCAAATAATTGGACCAGTAATTTTATTGGAGTCGCGGGCCAAACTGGAACTTGTCCGACTAACAAAATATGCTCCTCTACCCGCTAAACGAGTGTTGTATTGGTGGACATTACTACAATTGTGAAGTAGCTATCGAAAATTGTGCAGGCAGAATTCCATGTTTAAATTGAAAAAAAGATTTTCGCTATTTCGAATTTATTATACATCATCATTTTATTTGTCAAATCGTACCAACTTTCAAGCCCCAGGCAGTTATCCACTGGTATGTTATTGGCTGTTATTTTTACTAGAAATTTTTTACGTGACAAACAATGTCCAACCAGCTCAATACATAAGATGTTGAGTTAAGTTTGCTAGTAGGATAGGATTTACATATTTATCCCAGGAGAGAGGAAAGTCGGTGAAACGGGTTAACCATACGGCGAACCACGGCCTCTCGTCCAATTACCGCCGAAATTTGTGATGAAACACACAATACATGCATAAATAAACATATGCTTTGGCATATGACTGTACAGTACAGTATAGGATTTACATATTTATCCAGTCATATTATTTATCATACATATTATTTATCCCGGAAAGCCGATAAGACGGCTTAATCATATGGCGAACCACGGCCTCTCATCCAATTACCAGTCCAGGTCGGGTATGGGATTAGTTAGCCAGTTATTTGTTTCGGAAGCATGGACTTGATGGTGGAAGGGGCCGTAACCGACCAGCGGTTCGGTGAACCACCCTACGGCGGCGGAGGAGTCCAACAATCCTCTCGCGGCATGCTCATTCCACATGGGATTCGAACCTGCGAACCACGAAGGGTAATCAGAGATGCGGTGGCGAGCGTATTCCTAACGCTTTAGCACGATGTGCCACACCGCAAGACAAAGATACGACCTCTGGGGTAATCAGAGTCTGTTTGCCATCCTTACAATTACCGTATATTATTAGTGATAAAAATAATTCAAACAGTTACGGCAGGGTCGGTCAACCTTTTGCGTCGAAGGGCCACATGTAGTTCACTAATAATTGCACGAGCCACATGGGTAGTTATGTTTTAGTTTTGCTACAACTGACCACAGGGTAATGAACAAACAAACAATACCCTCACACAATACTTTCACAATTATTAGAATAATGAAACTGTTGTTTCCCAACCATTAATGCGGCGCTATGAGTGGGTATTCCCAAAAGTTTCGCCAAAGACAAGCCAAGACGCTTGATCATTTTTATCTCAGCTCCAGTCGTACCCTTAATAGAGGCAATGGCTGCAAGCTCTTCGGTAATTTTAAATCATCATTAACTCCCTGCAAGGATATCGCCAAGTTGCCAACTGAGCAGTAAACTTAGGGTTACCATATTTTTTTGACTTCAAAGCGGGACGCCTCCAAAGACACGACCCCTTAGCTGTTATCCTATAACTTGAAGTGTCAGATTTTACTACATAGGCCTACCCCGGTTGTCTTCAATGACCATATTGTCATCGAGAGTTCATGCGCATATTCAGTTCGAAAAATAGAAAGGAATAGAAGCTAACGATACAAATGATTGGAATTTAGATTTTTTTATGTACAGCAAAAGGAATAAAGAATAATGAAATAGTCTGACGTTTCCAAGCATTGGGATTTACTTATTCGCCCCAAGATGCTTTTATGTAGATAACACATTCAAAAAGACGTTGTTGAATGTTACATTCATGTGAACGTCCGAACAGGAGCAATTCGAATTGATTTTACATATAATACGTTCGCTAACAATGCGGGAACCAGCGAAACAAACAAAACGAGAATATCGGTCAGAGACCGGAGACTTATCGAACGAAAGTTGGGGGATCAAAACAAACTGCGGTTTCGATCAAAAATGTAGGAAACAACTCCCCACGTCGTCGTCGAAATAATACTCAAAGAAAAACTTTTATGAAGAATTCTGCAAATTCTGCTGAACTGGATTTACCAATCCTATATTTTGTGTCAAATACAACGCCGCTAACCCGGGTTGCGACGGCTATCCAAACACGACCTAGCGATATTTAGGTGAGGAATTCTGTAACATCGAACCTGATAGAGGGATATGGACATTGCTTAAAGAGTAATTATAAGTAAGAGATACGATCTCGCGGCGTGTATCCCTCGCTCTGATCAATAGCGTGGGAAAATTTCTTGAAGGAAACTTGCGCATCGCGACGACGTCAAAGTTACAAGAGGGATATGGACAATGTTTTAAGATTAATCTCGAGATACGATCTAGCGGTGTGTACCTTTCGCTCTGACTCACTAGCGTGATAACTTGCGCATTGCACACACACACATTCAGCGCGTCTCAAAAATCTCTCGCTTTGTAAAAATTGTTCTCTCGGTTGGTTTGCAAAAATCAAGATCTCTTCATCACTAATTAGTTAATAAC